CTCCCCCGACATAAAACTGTTTTGTGCTTTCAAGAATATTTGGATTTCAAAATTATTGACAATTTTCAAAAAAAATATTAAAAATGTTGTCAAATCTCGATGTTGTGGAATGTGGTTAAATATTTTCGTGCTTCTCATCTATCACTAAATGTAGGTTGGCTAGGGGGAGCGGTTCTAAAGCACGAGCACCCAAGTTTGATTCTCTTGAGTAGGTCTAGTCGCGTCCGGCTGCAGCCAGACCTACCATGTAGACAATCCCTCTGAGAACACGCTCAAGGCTCAAAATAGACCGGGCCGGCCCAGCCGCGTCCGGCTGCAGCCATACCTGCCACGTAGACCATCCCTCTGAGAACATGCTCAAGGTTCAAAATAGACCGGCCCGGCCCAGTCGCGTCCGGCTGCAGCCAGACCTACCATGTAGACGATACCTCTGAGAACACGCTCAAGGTTTAAAATAGATCAGGATCAGAGAGTTCAGTGTGTTGATTTCAAGGATTAGAAGTTCAGGTTTCGATTTAGCTTTCGTCTACAAGTTCAAGTCCCTCAACGGCCGCCAAAGCTCACGTGGCCGTCACATCGCGGCCTGTTGTGCTCCGTTCTTACATCATCGTCATCGCCACCTGGGTAGTCGCTAGGGGAGGTCGGAGACTCGATGGCACCGCTTGGCGGGAACATACGAAGGATTATTGGGATGTCATTTTTTAGGGGAGGGATTGGGGATGGCTTTGTGCGTGCTCTGCAGGGAAGAAGCAAATGAGATGTGTCGACTACTAGTTAACTGACGCTGACTCCATGGCACCGCTTAGCGGGAACATATGAAGGATTGAGTTTTATCCTTTGCGAAAAACTGTTTGCCGAGAGAAGATCTCCCTCCATGAATCGACCCGAAATTAAGTGGATCGTGACCCACCTAAGAAATTGGCGTCCCGGAGATGTATACCCCTTGTTCGCTCAGAAGACGATCCTCGATCCCGTTCCTCGACCCGGGCCACCCGGATTTCTGGCAACTCTGGTATAAACACCTAGTAAATCAGAAACCAGCATCAAGAACCATATCCTATAGCTAGAACTAGGACCAAGCAATACCTTAAATATGAATAACTCAATCTTCAAGCCACATTAAATGAAATTTTGGTTCAAGGTTTAGATTAATTAATTCAACCAAACCCAGGACAGAGACATATGGTCAAGCACATGATCAATATGCAGGTATTAACAGAAATTTTGGACTAGTAATTGGTCCAAAAAACTCAATCCTTGCACGCCGGTAGCCGCAGGAACCCAGGGGCCGCGGTGGGCATTTTCACCTCAACCGGCTCCTCGGGGATGAGGTGCCAGTAGGGGTCAATGGCGCCATAGGCGTTGCGAATGGCCGCGGCATGGTGCTCCGTCTGCAGGCAGAGGAGGCAGTAGGCGGACATGCCGAGAAAGCTGAGCCGCGGGACGCCGAGGCTGGCAGCAAGGCCGGAGGTCCACGGGTGGCATATGTCCGACACGACGCACGTCGCGGGCGGCGCGTGCGTGCGGAGGTGGCGCTCCAGCGGGGCCAGGAGGCGCGACGCAGCGAGGAGGTAGGCGGCCTCCTGGTCTAGGGGGATCTGGTCGACGTCGTCCGTGCCGGCGAGGTCGAGCGGGAGCTCGACGAGCCGCACCGGCAGGCCCGACGACTCGACCACGGGGCGGAGGCGCGCAGTGTAGGACGGCGTGACGACGATGCTGGCGAGCGCGCCGTGGGCGGCCAGCTGCAGCGCGGCATCCACCGCCGGGATCAGGTGGCCGTGGTGCATCAACGGGACGAACACGAAGTGTGCTTGGCATCCTTATCTTCGCTCCATACGTCGTGTGCTTGACCTCCTTATCTTCGCTTCATACGTCGTGTGCTTGGTTTCTGGAGATCAATCGCTACGTAGGAGCCACGACTGATCGCACGACTAAGCAGACACCTGTATGGCAAGTGTGTTCCCTCTACTGTTATATGGCCCTGAAATGTACTACTATAAGACTGACCAGGTCTTGCCTTTGGATGATAGTATATGCTTGTCCACTGTCCAGGCTAGGCTATCAGCGATGGTACCAGGCCAGATCACAGCGATTGTTAGACGAAAACTACAACAGACAGGGCTAAACACGGTTGCCGATCTGTCTTGATCGCGAAGCATGAAGATGCTTCGCGCCACCAAGAGTAGTATCTGTTCTTATCAGTTCAAAATCTGATGTGTGGGGCATGTGCCCACAACGACGTTAAATTTATTTTTCACAGGGGCTAGGCGCACCCCAACCAAATTGAAACCAATATAGTGATTACATAGATGCAGGCCAAGATGGGAGTTAACCATACTGCTGAAACAGGGAAAGGGTTTCAAGTGTGATAAAAGGGGATTCGTATATGAACCGTACCGCCGGTCCGTACACCTTACAGTAAACAAGATGGTAGATAGGTTTTCCGAGAACAATGCTGGACAATCCATTCATGCCTGGATCGCATTCATCAGTTCGTTCTCCATCGTCTGCATCAAAATTTATTTTTCGGTTTATTTCACATAAAACAAGAGCAAAGTGTTGTAGTGTATTAGCATATAAATATAAATACGCATATGCTTTCAATGTACCTGCAACTCATCCACGGAAAATGCGTTATCCGCCATCTGCAAGAGGTGACGCAGATCACAGATCACACCTTCACATAGATCAAGTGCATTTCCAGGCATGTGAAGAAAACTGTACCTCCGTGTCATCCATAAGCAAATAGCTCACCATCTAAATCATAGGTAAGATAGACGCAATTAGGAACAGGTGACGAACGATTTCCAAAATTTTCAGTTGAATAAAAACAGAATTTAGACCTCCATTCCAGTCAGATCCATTGCTGCATCACTGTCCACCACCGTCTCAGCCTCAGATGTCCTGCACACCAGAACAAGTTACAGAACTTATGAACAAGCACGGCAATCAATCAGCAGCCAGTTCTAAAATAAATAAATAAATAGAGAACACAGAGCATGCGGAACCATACACATTATCCACTCCCTTGCTTGGTGATGCAGTGCTTAGGACATCCGGCGGAGATTCAGCTCCTAAGTTGCACTTCTCCCTGTATCTCTGGCACGCAAGAGCAAGCCAAGTGTGTTGAGATCCCGCACCGCGGAACGAAAACCCTCAAAGTATATCTATGAAGAGCTGCAAGAGGGCAGGAGGTACCTGAAGGTGGCTCTTTATGTTCCAAATTGTGAGACCTGTGACTCCCATAGCTTCCATTCTCTGCTTCACCGCAGTTGGCTTCGCCTCTAAGGAATTGGCGGCACAGTGGAACAGAACGGCATCAGTTTCATCAAGAAATTTCCGATCCAAGGAACAGAAAAATGAATCGTTTGGCATCGTATGCCTCTAAGGAGTTGCAGGAGTTGAATAGCACAGCATCAGCTTCATCGAGAAATTTCAGATCCAAGGAAAAGAGAATGAATTGTTTGACATTGTCTGCTCAAAGTTCAAGAAACCAAACCATAGGGGCCTCCTTGATACTCTACAGCTTCCACGAAGATCTTATGGAGATCGTCGGTCCAGCGAAGTAAACTCCTTGTCGGCTGCATTGCCCTGAGAAGGCAGCTGGCCAGTATGCCTGACATGTAAGAAGAGTCGCTGTTTTCTGTCGGCTTGTCGTTGGACATCATTCTGCAAATCAAGCTCACCACGTGTCAGTAAAGATCAAGGAAATCAGAAAAGATTACATTGTGCAACTCTCTTTAGAAGCAAGGCATTGCAAACTTGCAAAAGGACAATACAGTATGGCTGTGTGCATCAGGATGATGCAGAAGCCGGGGTTATCCCCTTTCCGAAAAAAGAAGGATGCGTGCATCATGATGATGCAGTATGGCTGTGTGTTGAGATTCTGTAACTAAAAAGACAGAATCAATCGTAAAATTTGTATATTTCGTTAACGTGGGCATGTGCCCATATAGATACAGAAAATATTTCCAAATACAAAGTGGAGATCAAGCAGAACATCAATTCTCTGGCATCCTATATTAGAAAAAAGAATGCACTAAAATACCATAAGAGAAACTAAAACAAATTGTGATGCTCATACCAGTATGTGCGAGGAAGCAAAAGGAACCGGGAATGTATGTCATACCTTTAGCAAGAAGAGTGAGCGATAGTGTCCTTCTCTATAAAGCCAGTCACCCTTTTATACAGTTCTTGTAAGAGACTAACATAACTCATCACAATTCACAGTTGTTTTGTATGGATGGAAAGGTTGGCAGAGAAGTAAAGCTTTCTCAAAATGGTAAGGAAGCAACAAGGATGATTATCTAATATGAGCATACGCTGCCAAATCCACGAATGGTGCACATCACATTAACTTATCAGGAATGTGATAGAGACGTAAATAACCAGAATGATAATTTAGGTGCAGTAGTAAGTGTTGAGGTTGACTTATCAGGCAATCTGGATGTGTGAGATATGATCAAAGTCCTATCCTATTACGCCAAACACCTAGCAGCAAGGTAGCAGCATGCCAGCATGAGTGCATGACCATGTCCTGTCGTTGCAATGCCATCCTGCATGCCTTTCAACGAAAAAAATGTTGTACAAACATAATAAATTGATCATAGGTGCTTAATTGCACGACGAACTCGCCCCAACAGATAAGTTAGGCAAGACTACACAAGTTATAGGAAGTAACAAGGAAAAATGGCTTCAGCCTTAATGTGTAGGTGCATAGATGTATCATGGGCTCCTCTTGCATTGAAAATGCAACATGCAACTAGATCACAAGGTCCATAAATAATCCAGTGAACTGTGAATGATTCAATCAATGACAATAAATTTGATGAGGTTTAATCAAATTACATGTATTGTATATATGAGTAGTACATTGTTGTGCTCTCAAGATGCCCTTGGGGTGATACATCCTATTTTTACAGGAAAAGAATGGACTTCTAAAATATGATAACAAGAATATCCCTAGGTTTCTTCTGGGTTGGAAGATGGCAGTAAGAAAACTAATCCTCGGCAACATACTTGTTCCTACGAGCACCAAAAGCAATTCTCTGCAAATAAAATCAGGAAGAATGATTATCACAGTAAATTTGACATTGGTTGGGGATGTCCAAGATTAATAGAAGACCCTCCCCAGGTTTCAGATAGTTCTTACTGAAAATATTCTGGAGTAGGCTTTCAAGCCTGTGAGAAAGCGAATGTAAGTCGGCTTCATGGATTGCTTGGTAGGGATTTCTCTGATGTTTGGAACAAGGTAATCCGCAACCTATTTTAATAGTCAACATGATTATTATATTACCCACATTACCAAACAGATCATATGATTAAAAAGTGTACATAAATAACATTAAGCTGAATCATCAACAGATATCCATCACAAAATGAAACTAGAGGCTATCGCTCTAAAAGAAAACTGTGCCTGACATGGATAGACTAAGATTTTTAAGCGCAGTTATAAGCTGTGAAAGCTAAGTTTGCCAATTTATATTAGATCAGCTATTCCTTTTGTGCACATTTGATAAGTATGAATGTGTGTTCACCCTGAAACTAACATATGAATCACATATGTATGCTACCATTTTTGAAGAACTTCGTGCTACCATTTTTCAACTTTGTTAAAGCAAGCACAAAAGGTTAACAGCCCTTCGACAATGCATCACAAATTTCAGGAACGTATAAACAAGTCTGGAGACCACGTTCAAGCTAAGTGGTCGGACGCTTCTACACGTCATATGGACACAGGCCTAAAGCAGCTAAAAATTATTACTACTGCAGCCAAACATAAGCTTTAGAGTTTAGAAGAAGAGTCAACATTGTTCTGGAGGAAAAGGACCAATGGCCCTGTAAAAAGAACAGGAACAATGGCATAGCTCTCACCACATCAGGAGTTTCAGCTAATATATTGATGAAAAACTTTGCCTGCCATCAGTAAAATTCACAATTTAGTAACCATGAATTATCTTATCAACAATGGCAAAAAGAAAAAGAATGTCAGAAAGAAATTGTGTCTATCCCTTACTTGCTTTGTGGTAGCACCAGACATAAGAAGATCAGTCGTAACCATGCCAGGCTGCAAAAATTAGTTATGTACTTACTGTTAGTGTGTGACTATCCTTTTCAGAGTTGTAAACAGAACTTAGAAACAAAAGGCGATCATTTACTTATACGGATATTCCATTGACCAATACTTACAACCTTACACAAACTAGTTAGTTAAACCACGCCAACTTCTAATTATCTTTATGCGAGAGAATAATTAGGAACTCTAGAATACAAAAGAAAACTAAAGAAAGGGTGGAGCTGTGTACCGATAAATTATGCACCACGACATTATTCACTTCATTCATCTGCAACTCAGCCTGCAATAAGAATCATGTTATCTTCTCCACACAGTTTCTAATAATGCTGCAAAGCTGTGACCTGCACCAGTATACTACCTTGATTTATTTTGCTTGCTTGTACTTTATGTCTTCTCTTTTGGGTTCTCACAGTTTTTGTGGGGTTTCATCTCTAGCCTACCCCAATTTGCTTGGGACAAAAGGCTTTGTTGTGTTGTGGAAATAAATGTAAACTTAATAAAGATCCGTGCCACTTTGCCAAGTTCAAGCACACAGCAATAAATCGCCTATTATTTTCTCTATGGATGATTAGAGCTTTACGATTTCCCAAATATGAGTTTGTGGGAGCAACTACTTGGGAATTTAACATGACTCTAAATATTGTCAAACAGTAGTTATCTCATTGTACTGTTGAATGTTTGTGCTTCGAGGCTATCGACAATTTCATGAGGTTACAATACAGCAAATAGTTCATTATTTCAGAATGCTTCATTGGACTGCTCAAACAGAAACTAATCATTTCAGGTTAAATCGCCACACATGTTATCTTTACCTGTAGAGACTTTGTAAGGTGCACCACACTTCTCTTCGTTGCACCATAAGCGGCAAACCTGGTGATTATAATAATAATTACTTAAAATTCAAGACTACTAGTTCACCAAAAGATGATTGAGTCTGTCTCCTTAGTATTTCGTTTTGTCCACAACTTTAATTTAATACAAATAACTGATACTGCCATATGGCCATGCAAATTCAGTATGTCAAGTACAATACACACATGTGGAGAAGAACGGAAGGAGATACTTATATCAGCGTCAAAAGAACAGGACATATCGCACTATGTTCAATTCCTCAGGTTCAAACTATATGAGCAGTAAAACGAAATCATGTGACAGCACACTCAGCTGAGTATCCAGAATTACTACATATGAGAACAAACGGAAATGGTACCTTGGGGTTGGCCTTCCATCAGAGCCAGCGCCATCAATGTTAAATATGTGACCACCTCGAGGTTGGTTCCACATCATATTTATTGCCTAAGATGGCAAGACGATGAATGTTGGAATTCTTCAGCAGTCATCATACTATACGACAAATTGAGTGGAAAGTAATACCTCGCGACAGCATAGCATCAATCCAAGAGTGTTAGTGGTGATCACCTCACTGTTAAATCAAAGAAAAGGGTCAATGAATTATTGGCACTCGAGGTGCAACTGAATGAAGGTGTGCTTGTTCAAGCCTTGTCAATATAGAGATAGAGAATTACATTAGAGCCTCATCAGAGGTTTCCACCAATGGTTTGTAACTATATGCATTTGATCCGGCATTGTTGATCTGCATCAATAGAAATAATTCATAAGAAATTCCAAAAAAAAATTATGACATAACAGAGCCCTTCAATTTAATGCAATTGAACTTTAAACAGTTACGGAAAGCTGACTATCAATTTCCAAGCACAACAATGAGGATTGCACAGCACAATTCATACATCAAGCACTGAACTATCAAATATTTCAAATAAGGGTAAGTATGCAGTGAGCATCGATGTCATTTCATAGCGAGTGGTTGTCATAGCTATACTAAAACAGAACGAACAGGAATGAAAGTGCATGTGCAATGCAAGTGTTTGGTGAGGGAGGGGTGACTATGTACCCAAATATCAATATACTCCAGCTTGTCACGCGCAAAATCCACAAGCCCCTTCACATCCTTTCCTTCTCTAACATCACAGACAGTCCCCTATCATAGCACAAAAAAAGGAGACTATGGAGTTAAACGTGTTGCACTGTACTATTTTGACGATTTTTATGAACAAAACTTGAATGAAAATATAGGGACCAAGTAGCTCAGCAGTAGGTACCCACACATGTTGCTCTCCGAATTCCTTTTTCAAGTCATTTGTTACAGATTCTACCCTTTCAGCTGTAGAGGATAGAGTAGACTGCATGTCAAGAAAAGACTAAGCTGGTATAAATCGGAACTTGCATGTGTCCATTTCATTCTTTATGGAAGTTGTCTCAACAATATCGAAACATTTGATTTGTTTGTCATTTAGAACAATCATAAAAAGCCTCTTTGAACAGATCAATGATCTAAAAGAGTTGGAACCTGCCTAAACGCGGATCGTATATATTATTACAATATATAAGTGCAGGAACTGCTAAACGCGGATCGATTTGACATGCATCTTAAACATCAATTTGTTTTATGAAACACCTAAAGAAAAGTAACAGTTAAAAGCAGGTGTTTCTTTCTAACCTGATCTTGAGCATATTACAACATTGTCACCAGCCTTGAGGAACTTCCTTGCCAGCGCGTATCCTATACCTGTTGAAGAAGATGCATCCAGAGGTCACTGAGCAAGCAAGAGCTAACAGATGTTAACTGAAGCCAATCAATGTAATTTCGACAAGTGATGTGTTACGCCTCTATCATCCTCTACAATGTACGCCACGATTGAATCACAAATCAATCCTTGTCCCCAATTTCAAGCTCGGCCATCCGTCCATTGATTGATTCAGCGGAACTCTTGTTCAGAGACAAAATCGGTGTGAAACGAACAAAGGCAGCACCTTTGGTGGAACCGGTGATGAGGACGTTGTAAGGAGGCGCCATGGGCTCCCTCCGCGGCGGTCCTCCGCCGCCGCCGCCGGAGAGAGCCTCCGCCCGGAACCACCCCACTGGTTCCCGGGGCCGGCCCCTCGCCGCCAGCCCGCGCTGCCACGGACGGCCGAGGAAGAAGGCTGCGTCGGAGGGCAGGCGGGACGGCGCCGGGCCCGCGCGGGCGGCGGCCCGGAGCGGGAGCGAGGCGGCGACGGTGGCCATCGGGGAGGAGGAGGCGCCCGGGCGAGCGAGCGAGCGAGCGACGCGTGTGCGCGCTGCGGTGCTCTGCTCGCCGAGATAACGAGCCGGGGAGAGCCTGGCGTGCCCGACGGCGCGATGGCCCGCACGTCAGCGTCGGCGAGCGGTCCGTCGTCCGCGAACTCCCGGGGTTCAGTTGTCGTCTTCCTCGTCTCCTTTTTCATTCTCCGACGAACAAAGTTCTCAATTTTTCTTTGTTATAAAATCGGCCGATCACAACGCAGACGATGCTTATCGAAAAATCGGGTTAAAGTTGTGGAGTTTTAAGGTCGACGAAACCATCACAGACCCTCGTTATCCATAAAAATGTCGCTTCTCACTGAAATAATAATCCGTATATTAATGAAAACGCACGGCGTCAACTTTATGATTTTTTTATATGCTTATTAATGGATGGTGATAAGTGGTATTATCCGCCTTAATCATCCAACTACTGATTGATTAATGTCGGTTTGAAGTAGTACCGCTAGTTGGCATGAAGGGCTATGTAAAACTTTTGCCCATGCAAAAATCTACTCCCTCCATTCATAAATATAAGTCTTTTTAGAGATTTGAATATAAACTACATATGAATGAATGTAGACGTATTTAAAATTGTAGATTCACTCATTTTGCTCCGTTAGTAGTCTATATAAGAATCTCTAAAAGAACTTGTATTTAGGAATGGATGGAGTAGTATAAGAAAAGGTAGCTAAATTCCGAACTTGTTTTTGGTTTTAGCGGGTCGACATCGCAAGGCCAGTGATTGAATTTTGCACGAAAAGTTTTGGTTTAATGGACCGTAATATGATGTGGTGTGTATTTGTCGCATTCCGAGTACTGGGTCAGGTAGGTGTTCCATAGGTTTGAGCAAAATAGTTCGATCGATCACGGCCACAAAATTCAATTTAATAAGAAGGTAGGCAGTATCCCTTCGCTTGCATGCAAGGGCACCGGCCGCTAGGGTTTCCCGTGCCTTTCGTCGACGCCGGCGCTAGTCTGTCTTGTCTCTCCTGTGGCCTTGTGACCACGGAGGTGCGGTGGATACCAACCGTTTTTTCTATTGACCATGGAGAATTCCGTTTTCCAGATTGCTCCAAAATATATGTAGACACAAGAAAACAAAAAAAACTAGTAAAACCAAATAAAATCATAAATGTGCAATGCTCGCTATGAAAAATGCAAAAAAATCAATAATCATACATATTAGACACGTATTTAGTTTCAATGGGACATAATATATGAACAGAACATGCAAATAAGCTATAAAAATGCTTAAACTATAGAGCCATTATCTGCGCCTCCACGCGCTCGATCCCGAGCCTCCTCCGGCACCGTCGACACATGTTGCTTGATGCTCGCGTCAATGTCGGTCGCGAGCCGTCTATGTGGACCTGCCTGTGACGCTTAGGGAGACCCAGGTGAGGGCCTTCCCCGACTGTGGAGAAGTCGCCTCGGCCCCGACACGTCCCCATCCGTGGCCGCCACCATAGTCGGTCGCTGCCATCACAATGGCACAGAGGTCGAGATGCAGCAAGGAGGAGCGCCTAGCCGGCACGGAATTTGTTGGTGTTTGTCAACGGTCCCTGTCAAAGGTCGCCATCGCGGCCATGAGAAACCTTCTTCTTTTCTTCCTCCTATGCTCTGCTATCTCTCGCTATTTGAGAAGTCAATGAAGGGGGACGGGGGACAATACAATGGAGGGAGGGCAGGTTTGTGTGTGAGTAGACGTGTGCGCATGCGCAATGGGCATGTTCCCAACGAACGAGTTGGTTTTCTGACGTGGCAACTTGCAATGGGTAGGTGATCTATGGGTTTGAGCAAAATAGATCGATCGATCACGGCCACAAAATTCAATTTAACAAGAATATAGGCAGTCAAAAGGATTAGGGGGAGCTCGTACCCATTCGCGTGCACGCAAGGGCACCAGCCGCTAGGGTTTTTCGTGCCTCTCGTCGGCGCCGGCGCTAGTCTGCCTTGTCTCTCTTGTGGCCTTAAGACCATGGAGGTGCGGGGGATACCAGCCCTTGCTGGCAGGAGGGCTCCTTTTTTTATGTTTTTTTAAGTTTTGATAGGGTTTGTGTCCTCCTTATAGAGGTGAGGCGGCAGTGGCATTCTGAAGATGGAGTAAAGGTTCTCCCCGCATAACTTCCATCGTGGCAATGCTTGCAGTGTCGTCGGAGGGCATGAGAAGGTTTGTGTCCGGCGGATCTCATGGGATTCGGTCGCGTTTGTCTTCGGTGGATCCACATGGATTTAATCTTTGTTTGTCTATGTTCGTGTGTCTACAGATTGGATCCGATCTACGCTTCTCTTCATCGGTCGTGATTGTTGTTCTGATGCGCTAGTCCAATAGGGCAGGACTTCCCAACTATCTACTACAATGAAATTTGCCCGCCTCGAATGAGGAAGGGGGATGAAGGCAACATGCCTTCGTCTTTACTAGGTGGTCTACAAACCTGAATATAATTTTTTTATTTTTGGTGTTATTTGTGCTAATGAATAGATGTTAAGTTTTCCAAAAAAGGGAGTAAAGAGAAGTATGTTTTTGTCCCTCGAGTGGAAGACCTAGGTTGCTCCAAAACATCTATAGACAAATGAAAACAAGTAAAAAACAAATAAAGTCACAAATGTGCGATGCTCACAATAAACAAGCAAAAATCGGTAATCATACATATTAGACACATATTTAGTTTAGATGGGGCATAATATATGAAGAGAACATGCAAATGAGTTATAAAAATCCTTAAAATATAGAGCCATCATTTGTGCCTCCACGCTTTCGAGCCCGAGCCTCCTCCGGCACCGTCGACACACGTCGCTTGACGCTCGCATCAATGCCGATCACAAGCCGTCTACATGGACCAGCCTATGACGCTTAGGGAGACACACTCGCGGGGAGACAACGTCGTCAGGTGAGGGCCTTCCCCGGCCATGGAGAAGTTACCTCGGCCCAGGCCTCGGGGTGGAGAAGGGGCCTGTCGCCGTCCGCGTCCGCCACCATAGCTGGCCCTGCCACCGCGACCGCATGAAGGTCGAGAGGCAGCGAGGAGGAGCTCCTAGCCAGCATGGAATCTGATGGTGTTCGGCAGCGGTCCCTGTTGCGGCCACCGGAAACCCTCTCCCTACTCTGCTTTGCTCTCTCTCAATATCTGCAAAGTCCATGAAGAGAGATGGGGGACAACACGATGTGGGAGGAGGGGCACCAGCTTTGTATGTGAGTCGGCGCCGGCGCATTCGCGCTGGGCATGTTCCCAGTGAACGGGTTAGATTCTAAAAACACATTAAAATTTACATCGAGGACCATGCACCACCGAACGATCACTACTATCAGAACGAGTCGCCGCTTCTCTACCAGAGCCAGCTTGATGACAATCAGAAAGTTTTTCGCTCGCATGTCTCTATGGACTAGCAACCCAGAGCCTCCGTCGTCACCATTGGACCCGTAGATCAATTTGATGAAGCAGCTGACATCAAACCTCGCCGGTGCGCACGCGCGCACGACGAGAAACCCCGCCCTAAAACCTCACCGCCCCAAGAAGATGGCATGAATCAAGCCAGAGCCGGTGCGTGCGGTCATATGTTTATTTTTTCAAGGTTATATATACCTATTTGGTTAATAGCAAAAAAAAAGAAAAGAAAAAAAGGAGTAGATTATTTTTCATAAAAATATAGTGATTTTTTTCGAATATAAAATTATGTTATGTGCACGTGTTGTTTTCCGCATTTTTATAACATTGAGCCTGCGTTTTTTACTCCTTTCGTCCGAAAATTCTTGTCTTAGATTCGTCTAGACATGGATGTATCTAATACTAAAATATGACTTGATACATCCACATTTAGACAAATCTAAGGCAAGAATTTTGACTTGATACATGACTTGATGTATCGGCCTCTGTCTCCACCCCTTCCACCGATTAGCTCCTTGCGCTGCTGTGCATCACTGTGATGATATCTGCTGCGCCCGCAGAGACGAGATAGCTGGGTGCAGCGACAAGGGGGATACCGGCTACGCGAGGGAATTGGAGAGGATCGTGTGATCTGTTTGCCTCTTTTTTCTTCATCCTTGGACTGAATTTCCTATGAAGAGGTGGATTATTGGATTGCCCTGTGGCTCGGCTCTACTACTTTGTTAAATCGTTTGTTTCACCCACTGTTTCCAAAGATACTCGACTGTGAAATGAATGGAGTACATTGTCTTCAAGAAGACAAGTTACAGAATTCTGAAACCGCAATACGGAACACTGTTTATCCAATAGAGAACCGCAAAAGCGCAAACTAAAACAGGATGAAAGAGAGGTCATAAACAGCAGTATTAGCATACTTTTTGCATGCAGAAGTATATATCTGATCTGAGGGTTGTCAACATCTTTTCATAGTCCGCGCTATACACACAGTATATAATAGTAGTACAAAGAAGATAGATCAGTAACCGAGCAGAGTTGTGCCTGCTACACAAGGAAGGGCTACAGATAGCAAACTTTAAACTGAACAAGAACCCCCTTCCTTAATTCCTCATGCGCTACTGTGCCCACCTCTAGAGAACATCGAGAACTAGTGTGTCCATCGCCAAAACGCAACCATCAGCACGACCGTGATGATCATGCCGCCGTACGCGATCCGCTTGTCGACTCGGTGCCGCTTTTCGATAAGCTTCAAGACCGAGTTTGACAGGCCAACGGTGTTCAGGACATCTAGAGCCTTCCTTTGCGCGCTCTGCAATCAAGTGCAAGGAGATGTTACTTCTACTACTATCAGGCAGGCACATTCTTTCACCATGCCAACAAAGGCCAGCAGGGTGCTGTGCAAGTTGAACTGTTTCGTTTACCTTCAGACGATCCCTCTGGTCAGAGTACTTGTGGAGGATGGCCACTCCTGTCTCAAAGGCTTCGTCAAGCATTCGAGAAGAGCTGCGGGCCGATTGCATTGCCTGGGCTTCGTCGTCAAATATTTGAAGGACATGCGACGACTCACCATTCTACAACAGTAATTTCCAATTCATTAATGCTGCAACGAAATTATCCTGCAGGAAAAAGCAACTGCTCATGCTTTGTTTGCTTCAAGACTACTTACAGCTCTCTCAAATAGCTCCGCCCTTTCCTTGGCTTCCAAAATCCGCTTTCGTTGCCGCAATGAGTGCTTGTCGAGGGTTTCCTTCAATGAATCAACCTCTTCAGATAGCTGCTCCACTTTTCTGCCAGGATAGCATCAAACAATGTTAAAAACTTGGAACACCAACCTACATAACTCCTATTCAGCTCTTCCTTTAAATTGTGCACACTGTCGAAATTAAATATGCAACAGGACAAAAATTTCACAACATAGTGCATACCCTAAAGTAATTCTCGAGAGTTGCTCTAGCAGCCACAAATATAACTTTTATACAGAACTCCATTTCTACAAAACGGATAAAAGGAAATATAGCATCCTTGACGACGGATGAACCTAGCATGGGCGTCTAACTATCTCAGTGTGACACATGGCCACACATGTAGAGTGACAAGAGCTTCAGATCTAAGCTGGTGAATTCCAGAGAAAGATTAACACAAGAAGAAAATACGTGTACTTAATAATTTATTTAGTACTGCTACAACTGTGAATTCTTACAATAAAGGAAAGGGAATTAGAGAAAATGTCATCTTAATAGCAAGAAAACAATCCAATCTAATGTGTATAACTCCTATACATTAAAGGAATGTAGGTAAAGCACTCCCTCTCACGTGCATTTCAAGATGGAAATATTTGGTACAAGCAGAGGGCAAAATCAAGGTTCAAAGATGTATTATCCTAATACCTGCTGTAGGATTTCCACTGTACCCAGAAGGTGGATGGATAGATCAATTAATCAATAACTACTGATAAGTTAAAAAAGCAACAAATTAGATTGCAACTTTCTGTATGCTATGTTGGTTATGCCAATTCCTCTGAAGAAAGGCTAGTTTTCAATATGAACTATCAAGTTCCTACATCAAAATATTCCTGCTTGCTGACTAAATCCTGAAGTGTAATGATACTCGGGGAGTTATTTATTGCTTGTGTATGGTGGGTACTTGAATTAAAACAATATGACCCTGGTTAAGTCTACAAAGAATTGTACATGACAACATACAAAGCAGAACTAACATCATGAAAGGCTGAATTAGGAATTCTTATTTGAGGGTGTCTATGTGGAGGCCACGGTGGTTCTGGCACTGGCATCCCTAATCAGTCACAGTGCACCTATAATTTGCCAATGCAAGATTGCTAAAAAGTATCTACATGAAATACAATTAAAAAAAACCTCGGCGACTTGCCCCTCTGAACCACCAAGAAGGGCGCAACTAAAATTTGCAAAGAGTTCTTTTTGCGACAGGAACTATTTGTTATGAATCTAGTGCCAATGGATCTGTCTACCAACAACAGGCAGATTCAGTGGCAAGAAAACTGATAGTGGTCAAGCTAAATAAGTTCAAACCGGCATACTGAACAACCCAATTTCAATTTCCTCAAAGCATAACTGAAGCCTACCATACCAAGTTAGGCACATTGAACAACCAAACTTCCATATCCTCAACAGCATAACTGAAGCGTACCAAAGTTGGCACGTCGAACAAACCTAACTTACAGCTCCTGAAAAGCATAATGGAGGCCTACCGACCAAGTACTAGCACACAAGTTGAATACATGGCACAGATTACACATGCTCCTCAGTCCTCACCATTAAAGCCAAATCCACGCTCAAGTAACAATAACGACAGAATGCAATACACTAAGGCACCGCTTGGAATGGGGGTAATTTTATACGCGTGTATTTATTCTACAGGTGTAAGTTACAGGTCAACAGTTAAGATCAGCCTGAAATGAAAACGAACCGGAGGAGGTCCGTATCTTATACCGGCCAGAAAACGAGCAGAAACGCTAATCCAAACAGGGCCTAAAGCTGTGATCTACGCCCGCCGCGCCGACGACTCGTCGGCGCTTGGAGATCCCACTCCGCCTCATCGCCGATTCACGCGGCATGAAGAAGGAACTCGTGACGGAGCAGCTAAATGGGGCTAAGTAAGGGCCTAAGCAGAGGAGGGAGAGGAAGAGGAGGAGTGTCGCTCACCTCTTCCAGAGGTCGCGCTGGCCCTTGGCGGGGATGGAGCGCCAGAGGCGGTCCATCTGCGCGCAGAGGCCCTGGATCTGCGCCACCTCCCTGCGCACCGCCTCGGCGCCCGCCGGGTCCGGCGCGCCGACGAGCGGCGCCGAGGCGGAGTAGGAGGAGGAGGCGGGCGCCGAGGCGAGCCGCTCGACGCGGGCCACGCCGTCGCGGGCCGACAGCAGCAGCCGCCGCGCGCTCTGGTACATCTCCGACAGCGTCGCGCCGCCGCCCCCGCCGGAGAAATCCATCGCCGCGGTCGAGATCGATCGATCGATCGAGGGTTGCTCCCGGTGTCTCGGATCGGGCTTGGGAGGGCCGCGATCTCCTTCGGGCCGACCGAAGGCGTTGTGACGTGGCTGGTGGCGGGTGCTGGCCGCTTGATTGGGCACGGACGGCGTGATGGTGGTGGCGTCGATGCCGTATGAGCAATCCTATTATATATTATATTTTATATATATATATATACTAATTAATAATAATAAAGCAAATAGTGCTTCTGGTCGTCCGTCATAAAAAATACCCTCGAAGTTGGCAAAATTTACCCACCAATGCCACCCGTAAGTGGCAAAAAACGGTTCACGCATCGCACTGTTAGTTCGGGTTTATATAAGCCGAGATCCCCTAATATAACACGAAGATGGCTCAGTGCAGTGGCCAGCGCTGCACGCTTCCACCACAGAGACCAGGGTTCGATCCCTGCCTGCCCACCTTTTATCTCTTCTTTTTCGTCTCGCAAGCGCGCCTACTCCTCCCGCACACATAGGCCGGCCCATGTGCAGGTTGCAACGCCCCTGCTTTTATTTCATTTTTTGCCTTTCACGTTCTTATTTCTGTTTTAGTTTTTTCTTCTTTAAATTTATTCGTGATTTCCAGGAAAAAATATTTCAAAAAAAGTCTTGAAAAATTATAAAATGTTTGTGAATTAAAAAAAACATTCGGAAAATCATAAAATGATCATGATTTCAAAAAATTGTTCACATATTATAAAAAACTATCACGGTTTCAAATAAATTTTCAGGAAATAAAAAATGTTCATGATTTTTTAAAAATATCCAGTATTCAAAACATATTAGGGAATTTAAAAAATGTCCATTAAAGTTTGGAATATGTTCACAAAAATTAAAACAGATCCATAAATAATGAACATAATGAACCATCGCAGGAGATCTCCTCGATTTGGATAAAAAAAGTTTTCCATATCAATTTCTAAAAAATGTTTGTAAATAGCAAAAAATATTCATAAATTGAAAAAATGTTCTTGATTGTAGAAAATGTTCAGAAATTTGTAATAGTATGTTGTTTGCGATTCCAAATATGTGCATGAGTTTAACAAATTGTTCATAATTTCAAAATGTTCATGATTTCGAGAAATTGAGAGAGATATTGTATCTCGGTGATGCAACGAAATGTGATCATGACCATTTGAAATTATGAATTTTTTTCTCCCGTTGCAACGCACGGGCCCTTTTGCTAGTATTTATAAAGAACACTCACACATTCCCGCAAGTCTATTAGCCTCGTTGGCAAAATGTCCATAAGCTGAACGATTGAGTGGTTGGTCTGACAAAGTACTAACTGCCATGAAACATTATCATGTTTCACCATGATCGGCAGGTCGAACCATCTGATGGTGCAATCTGAAACTATCACCGGGTCAGTCTCAGGACCCAACACGCCAAGGCATAGTCTGGGCCCCGCATGACGTCTGACTTCTAGAAGATCATCATCTTGACGTGCAAGTTAGGGATGCCATAGGGCTCTACGTTGGTTAGTAAATTGTGTAACCCTAGGTCTCGTCGACGGTTGCCGATATCGTCATCCAGTTCATTGCCCACTCATGTGATGTCCTTTACGGGGAGCCGACAAGCTAGGAGTCGCGTCTTCCTAGCAACCAGTTATATCGGCATGATATGTGTTATGGGATGGGACGAGGAGACGACAACATTGGCCTTTACTCCGCCCAATTCGCCTCCGTCTCGACGGTGTTTTCTCTAGCGCAACCTCAAGGGCCGAGGAGGTTTGTACATGAGTGGATTGGTCGATGGGTGCCGCCATGTGCGACGACGGCATCATGCGGGGGATGATGGCATTCTAAGATCAAGGGATGCAGTCTTAAAGCGGCGGATCTAGTGTTCTGCACTGACTTTGTCGAGGACAAACGATGAGTTTGAGGCTAGAAGGGTACGCGAACGAACCCCGACCGATGCACCACCCTGATAATGGCACCGCCAATGGTGATCCACTTCGTCGGGTCACAAAGCCCCTTCGGGAGATGGTACTCCTTCATGTTCGACGAAGGTGCGCTGTGTTGCCGGTGTTAGCAGGAAACTCCAAGGACTATATTGTACTCCCTCTGTCCCATAATATAAGAGTGTTTTTAACACTACATCAGTATAAAAAACGCTCTTATACTATGGGACAGAGGGCTTTCTTTTGAGGCGTTTTTTGCTTTGGTATTGGATATATGGTCTTTCTTGCTTGTTTTTTTTTTTGCGTGTGTGGCTTACATTCCGTTTTTTATTGACAAATGATGAGGTTTGGTTCACCTTTCAACCCCTCCTATATCTATTGTGTCGAGTGCACTATCGCCGGCCACATAGAAAAAGGCTGTCAGAAATTACGAAGACCCGTCCAAAAGGGAAAAGTCAGATCGATGCACAGGTATCATTAGATAAAGGGGAACCACAAAAGAAACCAAGTATTCATTGTACATCCTAGTAATTTGGTTGATATCCTTTAAGTGTGAGTGGTTACGAAGTTATGAGCACGTACTATTTGTACTACATTTGGCAGAACACATGTTCTACTTTGCTAGTAAGAGAAAGGTAAAATCTTTTAGGACGGGTAGTCGAGTGAATTTTTTTTGGTGTAAGTCACTTTTTATGGGCCGACAGATCTTCATCCAACGATCAAGACCAGTGTCGCCAATGCTCATCTTGTTTCTCCCAGGCCGCCTCCTAGCACAACCCCATCTATCGGCCACCGCCCCCTGCGTCGTGCCGCCCTCCCCCCACCGCTCAAGGCTAGCCCCGTAAGCCCCGATCCTCATGTTCGCCATCGCATCGCCATCCGCGTATGTTAACCTATTTTCTCGCCTCCGTCTCGGACGCTACATCTCGCCACTTCTCGCAGTGCCATCCCCGTCTCCGAAGATTTCCTGGCTCGGCCTTGCCGTCAACGTCGTGGCTCACTGCCGTTCGCAACGTCGTCGCCCGACTCTGGCCTCGAGCTCCGCCATGTCCTCCTCCTTCCTTCACACGGGAATTCGACTTACACAAAAAATAAATAAATAAAAAATTCAAATTACTTGCATATAGCCCGTGCGAGATTGTTTCAAAGTGTAGGGGCATTTCGGGGCACATCTTTGCCCCAAAATAAAGCTGCAACACCAAAGCGACGGGGAAACAGTGCGCTGCTCTGCTCTCCTCACCGTCCTCTCCTCTCCCCTGCCGCCGCCGCGCCCCCGCTTTCCCCACCGCGCCCCGCAAACCCTACCCCTCCTCCTCGCTCCCCGGCCCGCCGCCCGCCGCCCGCCGCGTCGCCATGAGGTACCCCTCCATCCTCTCCCCTCAACCCGAATCACGCGCCGGTGTTTTTTTTTTCCTTTCGACGTCGCCCCCGCCCAATGCGGCGCGGGGCTGGGGCGGGGCGGTTCCTTTCGCTCCAGCAGCTTTCGTCCTCTGCCCCAAATCGGGACGGAATTCCCACCGCCTCCTGGTCCGTCAAATCCGCGCCGAATCCCCTTGGAGTCACGGGCTGTAGGGCGTTTACGATTTTTTGGGGGGCTTGGTTGATCGTGTACATACATGCGGAGTAGATCGATCGGGTGTTGGAAGTGGCCGTAGGATCGGAGGCCGTCCACGGGTTCCTCCGCCAGCGCTAGGTGTTTGTTTGGGGGCGTCATGTTCAGCGAGCATTGGTCCTGGAAGCACCTGAAACGGATTCAGCTCACATCCAGTTCTCTTGTGCGCTGGCCACTGCACTGTTCAGTGTAGCCGTTTCGGTACAAAAATAAGCTGTTTCATCCATGTTGGAAAGGATGCCTGTCGTCTGTTGCTGCATGCTGTTACATTGAAATGTTTGCCATTTTTAGTGTAGCATGTGGGCGGGCGTCTGTTGAACATGCCGGAGGAGCGCCTAGTAGGATATTAATCTGGTTATCGTTAAGTAGTATGATCGCCTTTTGTTTGCACTCCCATAGCGTTTCTTGTTTTTTCCAGTGGCACGGGGGAAATGCGTAGACTAGGCGTGCATTATATCACATGGTTTACCTTGATGATTTGACTACAGCACTATTTTGAGCCTTGCCTGTTAGCATGAGTTACATTTTCAATTATATGTTCTTGTTAGACTGATGCACTTTGTTGCGACAGCCAATCTGTTATTTCCGACTAAGAAATGTTCAGCCAGATTACCTCTTTATAATATAATTACACTTCCTGGGGGGCGTCATATTCGGCATTGGTCGGGGAAGCACCTGAAACGTGTTCCTGACTGCGCAAATAGGACCCGCATTGCCTTGCTAGATCGCTTGCCCAGTGTCTCTTGTGCTCTGGTCACTGCACTGTTTAGTTGTTTCAGTACAAAAACATGCCGATTCATCGATGTTGAAGCAGTTGCCTGCCAGTCTACCGCTGCACACTATTACATTGGAATACTTGCCAGTTTTAGTATTGGATGTGGGCGCGTCTGTTGAACACGCCAGGGTGTGCCTAGGATATTAATCTGGTTATTTGTTAAGTAGTTTGATCTCCACTCATTTGCGGTCCCACAGCGTTCCTCATCTTTTCCAGTGACGCGGGGGAAGGAAATGTGTAGACTTGGCGTGCATTATATCACATGGCATACCTTAATGATTTGACTATGCCAATATTTGAGCCTTGCCTGTTACTAGTATGAGTGACATTTTCAGATAAGTTCTTGTTAGACTGATGCAATTTGTTGCGACAGCCAATCTGTTCTTTCTGACTAAGAAATGTTCAGCCAAATCACCTCTTTAGAATATATTACACTGAAGTAT